AGTGATGGCCACCCTTTGCTTTGTGATGGCCTGTGCCCTGCTCGGTGATGGCTAGTTTAGGTTTTGAGAGGGGAGTAGCTCTGCGCTTCCGTTTTTGACAGTAATCAGCGAGAAATAAAGTAAAAATTCCAAATCTGCGAAAGAAACGCTGCGATTACTGGTTTGATCTTAGCTCTACAAAATAAACAAATTATGTCAACGCAGCATTCGTTGCGCTGAGCCCGTGCGGCCGACGACGACAGCAACGAGACGAAATTTTTGCGGTGTTGTGTTGCTAATAGGTGAGGGTACAAAACCCCAAAAGCTCAGCTGTTTACCTTCTCCCGCGTGGATGAAAGGTCGGCGCAAAGTCCAAAGTGGCCATCACTGGTACCATGGCCATGATTCCCACGGCATTCCATGGATATTTGTGACCACATAATTGTTGTGCTTTACTACCTCATCAGGAAGAGAGGAAGAAGGACAGGGTGGGGCTAATGTAACCACCTTAAATTCGTCTGTTTGGAGATTGGTTCCGAACAGAGCAAATTCTTTGATGATGAACTGCCTGTCAGGTCCCATCAGCATCTGCACATCACACGTAGCGTAAGCCATGTTGACTGGTCAAAGAGTGACTGACAACTATGCTTCCTGTGACTGTGATATCTCTATAAATACTTTTAGCAAGTGACACTGGCGCCGCCTAGCGGAAGGTGGAGGAACTAGGTAGGGCCAGCTTGCAGACTCCCTTGCGCCTTAACCTCAAAATTTATGAGTCACCTTGTAGGTCCATAGCCTCGAGGACTTGCTGGTCCTCTTCGTCCTCATCTTCCCAGGCATTGTAGCCATGCGGGACTGTGTGTGTCTGATCGACACGCCGCCGCTTGGTGTTTTTGGCTTGCCATTGCTTGCTGGTAGGCAGTGTCACAATTTGCCAAGTAGGCGTGCGAGCAATCTTTCTTGGGATGGGAATGGTCATTTTCCCAATGTCACCCATGACCATGGCCTTGAGGTTTTCGAAGGTCACTAGTGCATCACAAGAGGCATTGATGCTAATACCTCTGACCTTGATGCAGACTTTGGTGTTCTGCACATCACCTCCAACTGCAACTCGGTACCCATAGTTTTTGGGGCCTCCCGCTACAAACTCAGTGATAAATGAGCCGGGTCCGTAATCCTCCTCTATTTGGTCAGTGAGATCACCCAGATGGGTGCCCAATGGCAGGTCAGGCTCGCCTGGGCGACTCAGGTAAGCCACAGAATCTGTGTCATGGTAGTAGGCGCGCTGTCCAACTATATCCAAATATTTGTACAGCTGGAGGCGCCCTAGACATGTGGTCCATGCCGCATGGAGGAGTGAAGAGGTGGGGAGGCTTTCCTCAGAGTCATCTACGGGTTTGTAAGACACTTGGAAACATTGTTCTGACAACACGACCAGACCATTGACTACTTTGGTTGGATCAGTGGCTAATTTGATCAGTTCACCATAGTCATGGACAAACTCGGTCTTTGAGAGTGTTCGAAGGGCGGGATTTTTGTTCATTTTGTCAATATCAATGCTGATGCCATCATATTTTTTGACATCATCCATGAATATGTCTTTTGTCTCCTGGGTATTGCATTCAGCCGGCCAGCCACTGGCCTGAATTTTCAGGGCCATGAAGCGCCTGACATAGGCCGAGAGGAGACCATCTTTTCCCGTTTCCGGGTCATACTGAGACATTCCATGCCGGTTCGGCCAGGGCCTGAAGGTGACCATTGACGATTTCCGCGCCACTTTGGCATTTTTTTGTACTCGTCGAGATAGGGCGATTGCCAAATTTTTAGGTCCCTAAGTCCATTTTTGCGCCCAGGGTGGCAATTTTCAGATTTCTGTGAACTTTCTTTTGTGGTTTTGTTGAAATTGCGCTTCGAAGTCCCTTTCTTGGCTCTCCACGGCACAATTTCAACGCTAGCTCAATGATTTTGTGCTTAAAAGATGCGTATTAAATACAGGAAGAGACTCCAGTGGTCAAATTCTACTTTTGAAGTCATCTTCGTGGTGATCCAAGCGATTTTGTAAATTAAAAACAAGTAAAAATGAGGTAATTTTTTCTAACTTTGGCGAGGGATCTTTTGATGACCAACATCGAAATTTGGATTTTTTCTAACGGATTCTTGAAGGTCTCGAGGAGATCTTTCGAGTTCCGGTGCCAGAAAGTATGGGACCGGCCCTAGTTTAGCCGCTACAGCGCTCCAAAGTTTCGAAAAATCCCAAATTTGCACTAAATGGTGCAAGGAGTGGACTTTCGCTTGCAGGCCCACGGCAATTGCCATGCGAGTCCCAGGCCATCTCGGTTCGACTAAAACTGATCCCTGCAATAACTTCAACTTGATCCCAAGCCCCAGGGTCACTCACCGGCTCGGGGGTAAAGGGAAGGGGAGGAAAGAATACAGTGAATTTTCACAAAATTATGCCCTAAGCTTATATGTCGTCCTAGCCCCGCATCAGTGGTGATTATGGACCTCGGGGCCCAGTATGTTTGACAATACTTGATTCCGCCTCCCACAACTCCCCCCTCGGGAGAAGCGGGTGCTCTACAGGCGTTCGCTCACATTTGTCCGCGGGGAGCGCCTGCGATTAATTAGAGCAGGCAGCCCCTACAGCACGCGTGCCGTTTGGTGGCCTACCTTACAGGCGCTTCGGCCCTGGACCACAGGCCCTTGAACACTTTCTTCGGCCCCCTCTGCTGGAAGCGTCGTCTCAAAACATAACCACAGTAAAATGGGATAGGATTTAAAAGAAAAAAAAAAAAGTTCACCGAAAATGTTGTTCATTGTATTTAGGTCCTTGCAAATTGTTTACCGTGGTTTTAATGACTTCTTCCTTAGCTTGGCTATGTTTTTGATCCTTGAAATTCCGCCCTTGCCAATGGAATACTCTGTGGGACTGTTCCTAGGACGTAAAGAATGGGTGGCACATGGCCGCTTCAGTCTTCATTCCAGGTGAACTTTGTTGCTGAGAGAGGTGGATGGATAGAGTAGTATCCGGTCAGCTTCTTGCTCTTGCATGTCAATGTCTGTGATGAGATCCACATAGGTTTTTTCTCGCTACTATTACGGCCTCAAAATTATTAATTTGAAAAGTAAGTAGCCCACTGGTTTCGCAGATCTCATGGATGCGGGAAAAGCGTGTGTCAGAGCTTACGCTTTTGCAGCCAGCTCTCGTTTCCAGGTGAACTTTGTTGCTGAGAGAGGTGGATGGATAGAGTAGTATCCGGTCAGCTTCTTGCTCTTGCATGTCAATGTCTGTGATGAGATCCACATAGGTTTTTTCTCGCTACTATTACGGCCTCAAAATTATTAATTTGAAAAGTAAGTAGCCCACTGGTTTCGCAGATCTCATGGATGCGGGAAAAGCGTGTGTCAGAGCTTACGCTTTTGCAGCCAGCTCTCGTTTCTAAATGAAGAAAAAAGATACAGAGATTGAAAAGAAAATGACCGTCATTTTGAATATATCAGATAGGGAGGAAAAATGATTTAGAAACGACACAGCTGGCTGCAAAAGCGTAAGCTCTGACACACGCTTTTTCCGCATCCATGAGATCTGCGAAACCAGTGGGCCACTGACCTTTGAAATTAATAATTTTGAGGCCGTAATAGTAGCGAGAAAAACCTTTCTGGCCCTCATTACAGACATTGACATACAAAAGCAAAAAGCTGACCTGATACTGCTCTACCCACCTCTCTCAGCAACAAAGTTCACCTGGAATGAAGACTGAAGCGGCCATGTGCCACCCATTCTTTACGTCCTGGGAACAGTCCCACAGAGTATTCCATTGGCAAGGGCGGAATTTCAAGGATCAAAAACATAGCCAAGCTAAGGAAGAAGTCATTAAAACCACGGTAAACAATTTGCAAGGACCTAAATACAATGAACAACATTTTCAGTGAACTTGTTTTTTTTTTTTTTTTTTTTTTTAAATCCTATCCCATTTTACTGTGGTTATGTTTTGAGACGACGCTTCCAGCAGAGGGGGCCGAAGAAAGTGTTCAAGGGCCTGTGGTCCAGGGCCGAAGCGCCTGTAAGGTAGGCCACCAAACGGCACGCGTGCTGTAGGGGCTGCCTGCTCTACTTAATCGCAGGCGCTCCCCGCGGACAAATGTGAGCGAACGCCTGTAGAGCACCCGCTTCTCCCGAGGGGGGAGTTGTGGGAGGCGGAATCAAGTATTGTCAAACATACTGGGCCCCGAGGTCCATAATCACCACTGATGCGGGGCTAGGACGACATTAAAGCTTAGGGCATAATTTTGTGAAAATTCACTGTATTCTTTCCTCCCCTTCCCTTTACCCCCGAGCCGGTGAGTGACCCTGGGGCTTGGGATCAAGTTGAAGTTATTGCAGGGGTCAGTTTTAGTCGGGCCGAGATGGCCTGGGACTCGCATGGCAATTGCCGTGGGCCTGCAAGCGAAAGTCCACTCCTTGCACCATTTAGTGCAAATTTGGGATTTTTCGAAACTTTGGAGCGGTGTAGCGGCTAAACTAGGGCCGGTCTCATACTTTCTGGCACCGGTACTCGAAAGATCTCCTCGAGACCTTCAAGAATCCGTTAGAAAAAGTTCAAATTTCGATGTCGGTCATCGAAAGATCCCTCGCCAAAGGTAGCAAAAATTACCTCATTTTTACATGTTTTTAATTTACAAAATCGCTTGGATCACCACGAAGATGACTTCAAAAGTAGAATTTGACCACTGGAGTCTCTTCCTCTATTTAATACGCATCTTTTAAGCACAAAATCATTGAGCTAGCGTTGAAATTGTGCCGTGGAGAGCCAAGAAAGGGACTTCGAAGCGCAATTTCAACAAAACCACTAAAGAAAGTTCACAGAAATCTAAAAGTTGCCACCCTGGGCGCAAAAATGGACTTAGGGACCTAAAAATTTGGCAATCGCCCTATCTCGACGAGTACAAAAAAATGCCAAAGTGGCGCGGAAATCGTCAATGGTCACCTTCAGGCCCTGGCCGAACCGGCATGGAATGTCTCACTGCATGGTGCGAGGGTACTGGTAGACCTCATGAATGGCAATCAGTGTGTACCCCTTCTGGAGTGCCAAGTGTAATTCTGGAGCACACCATTCACCAGTGAGTTGTCTGTCCAGGGGATTTGTGTGTTGACAAAGGTCAGGGCTCTCATTTTCAACGCAAGTGCGGCAGAGAGGGAACATCAACTTCCCATTGCACTTATAGGGAAGCACAGGAAGGTACAGATCTCGGGGAGGAAGCACAGTACATTTCACGATACCATTCCAAGTATCCACAGGGGGCATTTGGGGGTCACCTTCTAGATAGATAGATGGATGATCAAGGGGGTAACACCCCCTCAAATTTGCATTTGGATACTCGGACACCACGTCCGCCATCTTGATTTTCTCACCTTTAGTGAGATCAACTTTGTGATAGCATCGGAGGGCACTGGTCCTGCCGCCACAGAGCGCTTTGCGCAAATCAAGGGGAGGTGATCGTGTAGTGGGGTGGGCCTCAAAATAAGCTTTGACCTCGGGTGTTTTGAGGTCCTCGTTCCAGTCACATTCCCATTTTTCTATGACAACATAACCTGCTTTTTTGAAGAGAGCAGTGATACGTTGTGTGCGCTCATAGCGGTTTTCACCACCCTCAGGCTGAGCAGGATAATGGCGGGGGCAGGAATGCCAAAAATCCCCGTGAAACTGATAAACGCGGCGCTTTACACCGCCTGTGGGGAGGCTGACCTCAACATATCCATCAACAGCCTTTCCAAGAATCCTAACCTCCCTAGGGTAAGGTGCCCAGTGATGGCCACTTTTAGCGCACAGATACGCCTTTCACCCGCTTACCAAGTCTCTCAATCGTCGTACGGTTTGGGCTATTTTCAGGAGCATAAAAAGAAGGATAGAGTGAAGGTTCTCCAGTTTGAAGAGGAGCAAAATTTACCTCTGTCTTCGCGAAAAGAGTAACCAAAATATCAGTGCAATTTGCCCAGTGATGGCCACCCTTTGCTTAGTGATAACCTGTGCCCTACTCGGTGATAGCAAGTTTAGGTTTTGAGAGGGGAGTAGCTCTGTGCTTCCGTTTTTTACAGTAATCAGGTAGAAATTAAGTAAAAATTCCAAATCTGCGAAAGAAACGCTGCGATTACTGATTTGATCTCAGCTCTACAAAATTAACAAAACATGTCAACGCAGCAGCCTTTGCGCTGAGCCCGAGCGGCCGCCCACGACAGTAACGGGATGAAATTTTTGCGGTGTTTTGTTGCTTATAGGTGAGGGTACAAAACCCCAAAAGCTCAACTGTTTACCTTCTCCCGCGTGGATGAAAAGTCAGCGCAAAGTCTAAAGTGGCCATCACTGGTACCATGGCCATCACTGGGCACCTTACCCTATCTGTGTAAATGGTCTTGATACTTTGACCCAATTTGTGTTGCTCCCAGTCAAGCCACTGGAGAGCCATGTGTGACTGTTTTCCCCTGCCATGATACCCCCCAGGAGGGACAATGCCGATGGAGTTTGGGAGCAAAAAGAGCTTTCTGAACGAATTCATAACTGCCGAGCTCAATGTAATCGAATGGAACATTGGGTCAAAACCAGCTGACTCAGCAAACAGTTTTCTGAATGACTGGCAGGCTTGGCGAAGGATAGTGACATCAGAAATGCAGTAGTCCACAAGTTCCCTCTTGAAATTGAACACTGCCCCCTGTTCAACTTGATCGTCATACCATCTGTTGAATTCTATGGCAGACTGAGCTTTCATGCCTGAGACACAGTACATTTCACGCTCAGGAAGGGGGCCCTCATAATTGTAGTACTGGCGGGTGTTGGCCAAGAATGGAAAGTAACCTTTTTTGAGTTCAGTGAGGCCAAATGCCTTTGGCAGGGCACTCAAGGGCATGGGGAGAAACATGAGGCTGTCTATGAATGACCATGTGTTTAGTTTCATGTTTAGGATTTTTGCCCCATTGAGAACAAGTTCAGGCCTGAGTCTCCGTGCAACGAGCTCTTGAAGCACGAAAACGGCGTCAAATGCCTTGGCATTGTGAGCCACAATGAGAAGTTCGGTCTTGGCACCGAAAGATTGTAAGTAAGTAATGAATTTGGACATGACGGAGAGGTTAGGGTCATCCAAGTCGTGGAAAATGTGTTGCCTTGTCTTACATGATGGACAGAAGTAGTCCTATGTGCTCTGCTAGCACCAATAATGGCGGAAATCCCCCTCCCGCTCATGTAAACCATGATGCACCTGCAGCAGCCCTTGTGCGACGCGGACGGGATTTGCACCACCGGATTATTTGTTTGGATGGTACTCCTGAAGTACCCTCCAAATCTGGTTACTCTAGCTCAACTCCTTCCTTGTACACAGACGCCAACAACAACAACAACACACAGACACAAAGGCAAATTCATAGGCCCTCCCCCTCTTTTTTAAATAGAAGGGCGGGCCAAAAACATTGTTAGTTTCAGCTCACAAAGAAATCAAGAACCTATAATAGCCCCAATCCGACTGACTCACTGACTTTCTCACTCACTCACTCACTCACTCATAGAAATGCTTGGGGTCAGGGGGTGGTCGAAGAGACTTCCGGTTTTTTAGGCACGAAGTAGCCTTATAGTAGACCCAGGATTCAGCCAGCCCGAGATTCAATTTGTGTGGCCCTTTATGCATTTCGGAAATTTTCTTTACGATTTTAATGAGACTTTGCAGACTTGTAGAACTTTGAACGCCACCATTCAACGGGCCTGATCAAGACCTTTCGAAGAATGTCTCGGGCGTCAAAATCGGTTGGTTTGCCTAATGTACAGGGGCAAAAAACCACTGTAATTCGCTTAAAAAGTGCACTTTTGTGATACAGAGTATCTTATTTGGCATTAGGTCGGATTTCTTGTGGTGCCATTTGACGCGCCTGGTCAAAAACTTTCTATTTCCGTTCCAAGCGTACGAATCCGGTGGGGCACCGACCCACAGTGGGCTGAGAAGCAAAAAAAGCGATAAAAATTCTAGGAGGGAGGAATCGGCGTCAAAATTGCTACTCGGGGGTTTTTGGGTCCGAGAAACTCAAATCTGACGAAATCAAAACCCGAAAACGACCGGCAGGGGCGGATCCAGCATTTCCGGGAGGGGGGTGGGGAGTCATTTAGAAAATTCGTCCCTGATGATTTTGGGTCCCCGAAAATCATATCTGGCAAAATTGAAACCAGCAAACGACCGGCGACAGCAGCCAGCCGCCCGGCTCCCCCACCCCCCTCCCGGAAATGCTGGATCCGCCCCTCCGGTCGTTTTTGGGTTTTGATTTCGTCAGATTTGAGTTTCTCGGACCCAAAACCCCCGAGAAGCAATTTTGACTCCGATTCCTCCCTCCTAGAATTTTTATTGCTTTTTTTGCTTCTCACTTCACTGTGCGACGGGGAGTGTACAGAAGTACCACATCACTGGGCTTGAAGTAAGTTATGCTCGACAACTTGTCATAGTGTGCCTTCATGTGGACTGCAGCACTGTTAATGTTTTCCCTGACGCTACGACGGATCTTATCCAATCGTTCGGGAAGTTTCGTAGGATACTGCTTGCGCGTGGCCTCATCGCACAGTAGTCGAATTACCCCGATTTTCTGGTCATAGGTACAAAAATGATCTTAGCGCTGCTCTTTCTCCATCATATATGTTTTTTGGATCGCCGATTCCAATTTTGATATAGCGAGCTAAAAACTTTCGGCCAGGGGCGGTAAACGCCCCAAAAAGAGAGGTAAGGTTTATAAAACCAGTGTTCAGCGCACATTTTTCACCTGCATGTTCGGTGTTTGCGTCTCTGACTACAATTCGAAAGTGGCTGTATCAAATTTTCACGTCCAGGGGAGTTTTTTTTTTTTTAAAAAGGGGGTAAAATTTTGTTTTTGTGAACTTAGTGCGCCTTATTAACCTGCCGTCAGGTTTTTTGGGTCGCTGAATCCGAATCTGGTCGAATTCGCCCTCAGCGCCTCGCCATTCCTTGATGGGAAACATCTTGCCTGTATCATGGAGAGACTTCCGAAGTGCTGACCACAGTCGGGCGAAACCGGAAAAAGTCGCACGTAAGTCCGATCTCGCCGTTTTGGTCCAAGAGGGATAGGACCAACGTTTTGAACACACAAAGGACCATTCTATACAGTTATCAACATTTTTGGCACGTCAAATAACTACTACTTGCCGTTTGGAGACCTCTGATTAGAGCAATTTCGCGAGAAAATGATAAATTTGGCGTGGGTTGCGTAAGAAAGGCTACTACCATCGCTGTTGCAGAGCAAAATTACATGTTTTATATGTTTTTGGAAAGGCAAAAAATCAAGCAGTCCAGTCCATTAATTGGAATTGGTTTTCAACGAAATTGTGGAAACTGCGGGTCTTCAAATCCCCATGGGAACACCCATATTCCATCCACGTAGAATCCCTGTGGACAAGGTGGATACGACCACGTGGATTTATCCACCTGTTATCAACGTTGAATTCAAAGCGAACAATCAATGTGGACTCTGACCCCTGGTTTCCGCGTTGATTACTTATGTGCAATTCTATGTAGATTGGAGGCCTTCTGTTCGATGTGTTTTGATGGGTGCACGATCGACGTGGATAAAAACATTGTCTATCCATGAGGTAATTCACAGGCATTCGGCGATGTGGAACACCACACTACGCATCCACGTTGACTCTCAGTATCTCTTGAAATGTAGATCACACCGCGTTAGATCCACCGGGAGTTTTAGGTGGTTGAGGGACGTGGTTAGGGGCATGAAGTGTCAATATGGATGGGTGGTGCTGGCCCGCATGTGGGCCATGTGAGCCCTTTTCTACACGATCTCGATGTCGATCATACGTATCCAAATTCATTGAGGCTAAGTCGTCTCTTTATGCCGGATTCATCTGAGTAGACTCGGACTTCCACGTGGATTGAATGAAGATGAGTGAAGACCTTGGAACTCGATTAGTTTTGAAAGCTGCCGACAGAGGGCCTGCTGATATTCTTGTCATTCCTTACCCTCTCGGCCTGCTAGTAGGATGCCAATTCACCATATCCCAGAGCCATCTAACGCAGCACATCGGGCAGCTTCGGGCGACGTTTCGTCGTCTTTGAAGGGGTCGTCTCGATCGTTTCATTTTTAGACGTCCTCAGGGGATTTAACCTTAGGAGGACCTCCTAACAAAATTGTAAGGAATGACTGACTTAGGCCTCGATGTAACATCGATGGTGGGTGGATAAGGCGAGTTGGGGTAAGGGGTGTCCCCATGGGAAACAGATGGTCGCTGAAGAATCAACATCGATGTGATGGGGATCGAGAATTTTATGATGTGGATTCTATGTGGATAGCAGGTTGAAGAGTTCCTATCAAATCGACATATCCACCTCCTATCCCTGTGGAAATTACATTTCGATATGTCTGGATCCACGTGGAATCCACCTATACGCGAGGACCGCTATCCCGTGGATGATCGACTCGATCATCGACGTAGCATCCACGTCGTTCCTCCACATCGATTCAACGTGAATTCGATATGGGTGTTCCCATGGAGATGTTTGCGAAAAGTGTCGTCTGCTACATTTTTGACGAGAGATAAGTCGAGTTGCGAACATTTGCGAACCGGTCGGGCACCGTGGTGAGATTGTGTGGTGACCCCACTTTCTTGTCCATTTCGTCAGGCGTTGCCGTTCGATGCTGTTTTCCTTCAAATCGACGTCAAACATGCGACGTCGTCTCGAGCGCCACGCCACCGCGCCACTCCGTCGGGAGAGGAAGGCAGAGGCGCTATGCGCGCTGACTACTTCAGCCAGCTCTGCCAGACGCCGTGCCACACCAGACATCGTTTTGGGCTGCCACCGATAGTGATACTTTTATCTTCCGTGGTCATGCTGTTACGACAGGACATGCATCGTTACGCAGGCCTCGGGTGCAGCTAGTCCCAAAAGGCAGCACAACGGGCGCGTTAGGTCGTCCCCTGGGTATATCTTTTGTCTTCTTATCTCCACAGAAATGATTTTAACTACCAATGAAACCCTCAAATCCAAAGTTTCACGTGAATTCAGCAAAAAGATTCATTGTACCCCCCTTTACGCACCTGGCTCCGCCTCTTAGGGTGCCCTTTACGTTCAAATCTCGACAGAAATGAATTCAGCGACCCCTAAATAGACTATACACAAAGTTTGGTGAAGAAAATAATTTCGTGCGACTTTTTCCGTTCTCGCCCTACTGTGTGACGCGTTTGCCGTTCACATTACGGCTTCGACAGGTCTTAACAGCTCTCGACAGTTTTCAGCTCCAGACAGGCTTTCATGGATTCGGATGGATCATGACAAGTGCACCGAGCCTCAACAGACCGGTCAAATGTTCCAAAGCATCGGCGTCAGGTTCCGGTGGGTTTGGCGCTGTCTTGTTTGGGAGGTGCCTATTTTAAAATTTACCTATATTTTTGCCGTTATTTTTATTCTTACTCCTTCTCGACGTGTCCTAAATGAACTTACGTATCTCCAGCAGACTGATAGAGCCATCGTATCTCCCGGACGCTGGTAGAACTACCGTACTCCGGTGGCGCCGATAGAAAAGACGTAAATTCGGGAGATCTGGCAAGACATTGTATCGCTTTTTTGGGCGTGTTTTAGGAGATTGAATTGAATGGTTAAGTGTGTCTTACAACTTTGGAAAATGAAAGGAGATTGACGGACGTCACTGTCAACCTTTAATATCTCCTTTCATTTTCCAAAATTGTAGGACACACTTAACCTTTCAATTCAATCTCCCAAAACACGCCTAAAAAGCGATACAATAGTCTTGCCAGATCTCCCGAATTACGTCTTTTCTATCGGCGCCACCGGAGTACGGTAGTTCTACCGGCGTCCGGGAGATACGATGGCTCTATCAGTCTGCTGGAGATACGTGAGTTCATTTAGGACACGTCGTTCTCCTTCCCCCTCCCCCACCCTCCACACCCTAAAAAAGTTTCATTGGTGCTGATTGACCATTGAGAGCTGCTAAGATCATTAATAATTTGTCAGACATAGCCAATTATGGAATAAAACCAATGCTTTTGAGCGATTTTGCCTGAAAAGCTACTGCAACGACGAGGTTTTTCGGGCAAAGATTC